TGCTGATGGAAGGACGGCTTCTTCCAATATTATGTTCTTTGTTTGAAGGAGATGGTCAAGAGAGCCAGGCTGAATATTGCAGCTACCAGCTGCCTGCAGCTCCCTCTGCCACCTGAGCAAGGGACTTGGGCCAGTGTCTCTGCTGCTCTCTAGGAAGGATACAGAGCTGTCTTGTTCCAGTGCCCAGCTTCCTGGAAGCACAGGAGATGGCCGTGCTGCCCTAAGAAGCCTCCACTGGCTAGCCAGCCCTGTGTGCCTCACCCTTTGTAGTACGTCCTACGAACACCAGCATGTTACCGCCCCCTGGCAGGCAGAGATCTGCGAGATGGGTGCTGGGAGCATGGAGTCTTCCCTTGCCAAACCTTAGTCCCCTCTGCCCTTCAGGCTGGGAGCAGGGGCATCTGCTGCCATGCCAGGCCGGTATCCAGTACACACCAGGATGCTGAACTTGGTTCAGCTCTCTTGGCACCACCGTGGCACTTAGAGGTCACAGTGACAACTGCATAAAATTCCTCATTACTGTGGCCCCAGTTCCTGTTTCTGGAAACCCTCAGGGCTTGACATGGGTAGCCAAAGTCAGGAGGAAGAGCCTGACTATACAGCTCTGGGCTGTCTCAAATTTGCCAGCTCCTGCCTGTTTTTGGAGCCCGGAGCCGCTGTCTCCAGAAAATTTTGCCAGCATTTGGCATGTGCCACCAGAGGGGGCTGCAAGCCACGGCAGCGGTCCCCCAAATCCTCCCCAGGCAGTGATCCCACTGATTGCAACCCAGTTGCACCATGTGTTGGAAAGGGCTACAGAAAAACCCTCTGGCATGGACTGATTATTAGTTGGTGGTTTGGTTGTTTTTTGGTTTTTTTGTTTGTTTGTTTTTTGTTTTGTTTTTTTAAATAGTGTTCCTCTCGTGTTATAACTAAGCTGTTACAAGATGTTATAACTAAGCTGAAAAGGCTTCTGCTTGCAGAGGGAACACCAGCCCATTCATTGCAGTCTGGAGGGAGCGTGTGTCTACTGTGTGTGTACAGCAATGTCCCAGCACTCGATAGCCACTCCGCCCAGCCTAATCCTCTGGCCGAGCCAGACCAGCGCAGCCAGGGATGGCAGTCAGTAGTCAGTCTCAGGAGGGAGCTTTTAATGGTCCAAAGAGAAGCACAGCAGCGGAAGGAAGGCACAAATGGAAAAGGTGGTTGGTTATAAATGCTGTGATTCACTCAGAGCTGAGGTTTCTGACTTGGATTTTCCAAGCGAGCAGAGCAGACAGAACAGTGAAATGGCAATTAGGAAGGAGTGGGCAGCTCAGCTACGTGACTGCACAAGCTGGGGGACCCCACCCCTGTTGCACACCTATCACAAATGGTTCGGGTTGCTCCTGGGATCACAAATAAACCCCGGCATGCACAAGGCTACCCAGCTACCACCATGCCATGCAGTGAGTGGAATCATTTTGCCACTACAGCAGCAGTGTGCTGTTTTCCACTGGATGCCACTTCCCTGTTCAGAGAGCAGATAACATGGCATGGGGCCACTGTGCCCAAGTAACAGCTGCACTCACAGCACAGAGAGGAAGAAACAGCAAGCAGACAGGCTATTACAATTATTTCCAAATAGTTTGTCAGGTCTTTTATCAGAGCATCAAACTTCCCTTTTGGTTCTGCCATTACTACTGTGGCCCCACGCCTGCAGGACAGCATGAACAACAGCCTGGGTCCCACACTCCGTCACAGCATGCCCACCCTCCCATAAACGGGATCCCAGCTGTGCTGGTGCACAAGAACCACAACAGCAGGAGGCGGCCAATTTTCTTAACCTGAAGTGCCTTCCCAAAGTAAGGCACTTCGTCGAAGCATGGATGAAGCAGAAAGACCAAGAGAGACCGAGAGACGCCAGTATGTTCTGGGGCTTCAATTACATCAAATGACTCCTTTCATGATGGTGGGGGTGAGCGGTGCAGTTACTTCTTAATGCAGCAGGACACAGCTGAAAAATAAAAGCCCAGATGTGCCTCCAGAGAAACAATAGCAACAACCAGCACTGAGCAGCTGCCCCTGGCTGCCACCTCCAGGCATCAATCCCTGGCTGATGCTCACAACCTCCCTGCAGGGAGGGCCGGCTGCCGAAGCTGCTCTCCCACCAGCTCTTGCTCTGGCATCCAGGCAGCACCAGGTATGCTGGCCCTTTCCGGCCAGCTGCTCGGCAAGAGGAAATCACTGACCTTTCCGCAGAGGTCCCATGGGTGCCAGGCACTGTACAAAACACAGGAGGAAATGTCTCCTGTCCCAAAGGGAAATCTAAAGCCAGATACAAGGAAGGCCAGAAAGGACACAGTAAAACTAAAAAGACTTTTGCAGATATTTTTGTAGGCCTTAGAATGGGGTTTAGGAATGTAAATGTTATGCTTTATGAGGGAGAAACTTTAGCCTAATAAGGTAAAACAAATGTTGAAGGAAGAAGCAACAGAGGAAGGGGTTATGGTGTTTACCTCTGGCAGCTGGAAGCACAGACTGGCCCTGCTCCTGCACTGATGGCTGCCAGGTAGCAATACCAGAGTAGGGAGAACCTTGTCTGCCCAGAGACAGAGTGCTACAATGGGGTTCATTAGTTCATTAGTCACCTTATATGAGTGTGCTCTGTATTAAGGATCAGATGTCAAAAGAAGGGCTCTACCCTGAGACTGTTTCTTTGATGCTGAACTCCTGTTCCTGTTAAAGTTCCCACCTGCAGCTGCAATGAGGCCTTTGCTTCTTAATAAAATACCCTCTGACATTTGGATGAGATTTATTACTAGATGGTCACCTATTAGTACTGCTTAATGCCCAAGTATTACACAGTGTTAATACTTGTCTCCTAGTAGGTCACTTAAAAAAAATCTGCCTCCCATGAATTTCTTTCAGGCAATGTCTATCATGCACTCTTTTAATTTGTTTTGTTATACTTTCTATCAAGCACTGCCCACGAAGTTCTTTCATACCCACTGCTTTGCAGTGTTGGCTCTAAGGAGCAGGCACTCAAAGTCAGCTTCGCTGCCAGCTCATACCTGTGGCCAGCAGAAGCTCAAGTGCATCCTGTTTCACTTGCATACAGGTGGCAGCTGAGGGGATAGAGGTGCAGGCAAACTTGACTTTCAGGACAGGTTTGATGTTAACACCTGGTTTCCAGAGAGCAATGTTGCTGCAGGAGCCAAACTGAAGCAGAGACCCTAACAAATCCTCCCACTATTCATGAGCCACATGGGGACAAAACCCCTCCAACTCAAATCCTTCTGCTTTAACTAAAGGCTCCCTCATGCATGCACATGCAAAAAGGCAAAGGGTAAGACCACGTAGCAACCACTCAGAAGATCAGCCACAGTAAAGTAGAAAGCAGCAAAGGGACAACATCTCCAGCGCTCAGGCAGCCCCTCCAGCACACACCACCTGCAGCTCAGGACCAGTCCCTGCTCTCTCACAGGCAGCAAAACATGGTAAAAATTGTCCAGGGTACTCAGAGTTAAAACTGACAGCTTCCTACATGTGGAGGAAAGGTCAGGTGCCCATAGGGATTTCTGGCGCTCTGACCAACCTGGCTTTGCTTGCCCGAGACCTTGAAGAGGCAGAAGCTGGAGTCGCTCCTGCCCAGCACACAACATTGCCCTGCCCAATACATATCACATACTCTGCAGACTGCAATGTAGGCCTACAAAGCTTTTATTGCTGTGAATTTTACTGTGAATTTAGGGCAACTGTATAGCCTTCTCATAGCTAATGTAGTTCAGCCTGTGCAAGCAATAATAACATCTGATAGCAACTATCATTCTCACATGCACTGCTGAGGCCTTGTTGTGTTCATCTACGCCCACATTAAGCCTTTCTCTGCCTTCTCCTCTCTCTACACAGGCCTGGTCCTGCAAAGTGCTAAATGCCTTGCACACAGTCACCAGGGAGAGTTCATGGTGCTTGAAGCCTTATTAGATCAAGCTTTATCTGTAGGGGGAGATGAGATCCCAAATGACATCAATCTGCACCTTCATTAGAGGAGCTACACTGACTTATGGCAGCTGAGGATCCAGCTCTACACTTTATAACCTTCATTACATCATCAAACCCATCCTGAACTCTTTGTTCTCCACAGGACTGATTCTACAGCCCCATAAATGCTTCCCCTGTCCCTCTGTCCTTTTTGCAAACAGAGTTCTCCTCTCCATATATAACCCCCTTTTAATCAACAGGACCAGTGTGTCTGGCAAGGCTGCTGTGTCAGGCCTGTTTTAGGAGACCCCAAGCTCCTTCACAGCTCAGGCACCCCTGTAGCTGGCTGTGGTTTCCAGATTAAACACACAGGTTTATAAGTCTGCTGAGACCATGTATTAACTCAGCCTTTTATGGAGCCCTTTGATGCCATTAATTATTCTTTACTAGTTGTTAATTGTTTTTCATGGACATCTAGTTTCTGAGTCCCTTCTCAGAAGAAAAAAGAAAAAAAGCAAACAAAATAAACCGCCAGTTTACCAAACACAGCAGAATAAGCACTGCTGAAAGTCAGATCCAGCCCAAACAGCTCAGACCTCCAAGACCCCAGCCTCACATAGCCCAAGCCTGGGTCTCCAGCCCTAGGGCTCTCTATGCCGTACCTCTGCCTAGTTACATGCCAGGAAATTGCTCTGCTCTCCCAGCATGATTTAAAAGGACAGTGAGGCCACTTCAACACTGAGAAAAACAAGCTGCCTTTTAACAAAAGTCAAACTCCAGCTGAAAGCCAGTTAGCTCCTGCTTTCAGGTGATATCAGGCTGAGTTAAGAACCACCAGTTCAATGCAGAGTAGAAACATCCTATATGTCCAAATCAGCATCTCATAACCACACAGTTGGTAGAGGCACACTTGCCACTGAAAGGCAACCAGATGCAGTGCTATGGGGGCTCAGGACAACACTTGTTTTCATGCACAAGGAAGTATGAGGCCCATACCACTAGGCAAAAGCAGGAAGAGGAGGTGACTATATACTAGAGAAGATGAGGAAGGCTCTTACTTGCAGTCATGTTTTTCGATTTCAAAGTGAGGGTTAAAGTTGAGGATAATCTTCTGGTTGGATTCAGGGGCGTAGATGACCCACTCGCAGTTCTGGTGGGAGGGGTAGTCATTGGGGTACCCTGGGGAGGTGATGTACCCAGCATCCTTGGAGTTCAGGCGGCCCCCACATGGCTGAGCTGCAGAGACACAGAAGGGAACAAGATATTGAAATGGGTTCTAGGCATCAGCTGCGCACAGCTAGTCCCTCCAGACCACTGCTAGTAGTGGTCTGATAAAGGCCATTCTCCAGGCCATTGACACCCATTTGGTAGTCTAATATTTCATATTAATCTCTGGGCAATGGCGATTATTCTACACAACAAACCTATTCCTTTTCCTCTCCATCTCCTGCCACACTTACATTCCACGTCTGACAAAGACCAGAAAAGAGAAATAAATGCTCTTGCCGAGGCAATTACAGAGCCATAAAGTAAGAGACAGATTGATATCAGATCATCTGGAGCCACCTCTATTTATCCCTTCTTTTGCCTCCTTGGCAAGCTGCTCTGTGGCAGTCTCCCACAGCTGCCTCAGGAGACACCAATATTTGGATACTACAAATTTGACACAGCTGCAGGAGCGCAGAAAGCTTTGCTGTTCCCAGGGAAGGAAACTGAGCCACAGTGGGGCTGATGGCAAGCCCAGGCCCACCTGTGTGGCCAGTGGCAGAGCTAAGGACAGAGTCCAGCTCTCGTGGCTCCAGCCTGCAGCCCCACGAGAGCCCTTCTCCGCTTGCTGTGCTCTCCCTCCCCAACCCTGCCTGCCCCCATGACCTCATCTCAGCAGACTGGCCTCTCAAAAACTTTCAAGCTAATCCAGCTGTTGGAACTCCAGATGCAGATAATCAGCAGTGGTGGTTTTGTGGGGCTAGCCCACAAACGGCTGGCAACGGCTGCGTGGTGAGCAGAGGAAGCACTCTCAGCTTTGGGTTAGAACAGGCCCTAGAGGGTGATTTCATCTTCAAAAAAAAAAAACAAACCACATTTAATCTCATGAACAGTGCAAATCAAGTTTATTATTGCATTACTTGCTGGGAAGAAAATCTGCATCACAGGGTCAATTGATAACGCACTACAAATCCCAAAGTCCCTTTCTGCACAGGGCCCCTACAATGTGCTTCTTGCTGCCCCTACTCCCTTGCCACTGCCCCATCCCCAGCCACAGCTGTCCCCGAAAGACAGCATTGCTTCCACACACCCAGCAAAATGGGCAAAACCCTAAGACCCTCCACAGGGCAGGCTAGCAGGCATACAGGGTGACCCTTGGTCCCATGTTGCAGAAAGGCTCTCCCCTCCCTGACAAGCAATGGGGTACAACATGGGACACAAACCCTCATGGGTTGTCCCCACTGCAAGGCTGTCCACACAGCCCCAGAGGTCTTCAATACCGCAGGAAAGTGCGTGTGGGCCTGAGGCACATCCCATGCCCCCTAGGGAGCTGGGGCACAGGAGGAGCATCACCCTCAGTGTGGGAAAGTAACCACGTCTCCCACAACCCATTGGCTCTGTGGGCTGAGGGTCTCTGCAAGTGCTCCCTGCTGCCCTGGCCTTAAGGCAGGCCACTTGCTGCAAAGCCCTGCGACCACCCGGGGTGAAGCAAAGCAGCGCAGACTCATGTGGGCTAAACGCCACACTGTGGGTCTGGCTCTGTCCTCTGCCATGGTGTCCACCAGGCCCCAGGGGTGTCCCCTGCCAGGCTGTCACAAGTCTTGGTGGAGGACATCCCAGCCCACCTTCAAACTGCCCTCTTGCCAGAGCCCATGCAAGCAGCAGGAGTGAGGCAGGACCCCTCGGTGGTAATGCTTCCTGGAAAAAAGCACTTCGAATAAACAACCTGCGCCTGCACAAAATGCACATGCCCTGTGCAGGAATGAGGACAGCATGAGGGCCCTTTGTGTGGGAGCAAGGCTTCCTTGGCCATGAAAAAGCAGTTTCAGTTTCCCCCATGTTTTTCATGCCCTCTAACACATTCATTCTTCAAAATAACTTTCTCACACACCCGAAGGCAGCTCTGCAGCCTTCCCTTTTTTCTTAAAATAATCCTGTAAGTATCCTGAAAAATACGAGGGGAAAAAAAAAAAAAAAATCACAACACTGCCACAGAAGAGCTAATGCCAAAAAAACATCTGGTTTTGTTCCACAGCAGAGCTTGCTCAACACACAAACATTTACAAACGTACGTTCTTGCACAAATCTCCTCTCAGCGAGGCATATTTGCCCACACATGTGTCTATGTGGGTTTGAGGAGACAGGGAGAGAAAGAGGGACATTCACGTGGAAAGAAGAAATTCACAGACTTGTTGACATCAATGTACAAATAGACGTGTAATTCACACTTCACTCATGTATGCACTTTCACACCTTCTCATAAAAATTCACACCTCGTTTGCACACATGTCCACCCGCTCCAGCAAAGAGAAATATTCAAGCTGCGGATTATTTTTCTTGGAAAGGGCAAAGTCTCGAAGCAATGAAAATATAGTCAATCCTTCCACACCTCGTCATCCCCTCCCCGTCTCTCCAGCTTTCACACACGTGCTACCCGCTAGGCTGATACCACCACCATCACCTACCACTCGAAGTTGCTAGCCCCTTCTCACACTGGATACTATGAATACTCCGTGAGCCACTGCAACTCAATCAGTTGGAGGGGGACTGCAATGCCAACAGGGGCATCAGGCTCCAGCTTGCTCCAGCTCTTCCCTGACAAATGAACACAGGAGCAGAAACCCTAGTTTACCCTGATCTTAAAACTTATCCCTTGTCCCGCAAGGCCATCGCAGGTCAGCAGGACCACATTAAAGAAACCCCTGGGCTCGATTCTGATTTCAGGTCAGCTCGCTGCCCAAGTTAAACTGCTGGTGCTGGCGAAGACAGCCTGAGTGAGAGGGGCTGGAGCCCAGCTGTCTACAATTCTGGTCTCTGCAGCAAAATGGGACAAACAGGCAAAACCACTGAGTGGACTGGAGCACCAGCCACATCCCTCAGGTGTTCAGATACCACTAGGAAAATTTCACCATCTTTCTGCAGCAGGGAAAGACTTCCGCCTGCAGTAAAGCTTCTGTGTGTCTCACAGCGGAACAGATTTTGTCCTCTCATTCATCCCTTGTCAAGAAGGTCGAGAGAAATGAAGAGGGCTACTTCAGTACAGTGCTGCCTTGTCCACGCACAGCACCAGGCCATGTGGTGAGCAACAGTGTGCCAGGAAAACCAGGGCTGCTTCTGAAGATGCAAAATCACTTTAATACAATTGTTCTGTCAGGCTTTTTCTCTTTTGATTCACTGATATCGAGCATATAAACACCTTAACAACAACAACAATCTATTGCTGCGCCCACTGGTGGGCAAAGGGTTTGCCTCAGCAGACATGCCAGCCACTGGCTTTCCGTATAAAATCAGGCCTGGTTTGTACACAGTAGAGGGTCAAGCTTTTATATAAATGTCTTTTCAAACTGATGCATTGAATCCATGCAGAAATACAACAAACAAACAAACAAAAAAAAAAAAGGAAGAAAAAAGGTGAGTGGCATGGTTACTTCCTAGGTTGCATGGTTTGGAAGCAAGACATGCTCCACAGCTAATGGGCTCTGGCAGCTTTTGCCAGCCCTAAATTCACTTAATAAAATTAAAATTAAATTCTGAAGTATAAGCCAAGTCTGCCAGGTGCATGGGACATCCTGTTGCTCAGTAAGCAAAGTGTAGGCACTGAAAGCAAACCACTGGGGCCCCTGCCAGCCTGCATGGCAGAGGGTCCAGTGGAATGCTGTGCCAATGGCAAGGCCACAGGAGAGCAGCTGGGCTCCTCGGTGGAGGCTATGGAGGTCAGCACTTCCCAGCAGTGTCAGAGCAGGCTCTGTTCAGGATGGGAAATCCCCAGATCCCCTCCTTTGTTAAGGCCCACCGCATGACTTACATTATCCCAACAACCCTCTCCTTGCAGGACCACCCCAACAGGGCACCTACACCAGAGGACAACCAAGCCATAGGCTTGGGAAAGAAAGACCTGGAGAAGGCTCACAAGGGCAGATTCCTGCAAACACTGCAGCATACGGCAGGCAACTCTGAAGTTTCCCATGAAGACGGGTATCAGCAGCTGAGCTCCTCACCCTTCGCAGAGGGCAGACTCCTCTTTGGCTGCCCTCTCCTCCTGGAGACATCCAGGCTGATGAAGTCTCCCCCCCTGCCTCCCCCAGGCTGCAACAAGCAATCATCACTCAAGGGACCCAAAAATAATAGCCAGGCCCCAGGACCCTCCACCAACACTTGGGGTTTTTCAGCTCTGCAGCTCATCAGTGCATGCTGAAACATTAGGCCAGGAGCAGAGCGTTCTCCTACTTGAATTTCCTGCCGATTAAACCCCTCTGGATTTCCCTCACCCCAGGAGAGCAGGACTCACTGTTATTGTTGGACCTTCAACACAGAAACTAAAGCCAACTCTGCCTGCAACAAAAATAATCATCATCAGAGTGGCCCATTTCACAACAAAAAACACATACTCCAGCCTCTCAGAGCTTCTAGCATGCAGCAGAAAACTCTCACATGTTTTGATCTGCTAGGTTCAGTTTACTTTGGGGATGTAATTCAGGGCCGTGCACAAAATTTAAGGCATTCTTGTCACCTTAGAGGCAAGTTGCAGCATCAGTGTGTGCACTGCTCGGAAAGAGCAGCCTTTGAGGACAGCAAAGGAACAAGGAAGAGAGATCCCAGGAGTTCCACGGCATAGGGATGCATCGCCTAGCCTCGTCACTTATATCTCTTCCTTGCAGGAGGCCCTCACAGCCCAGCTCCACACTCTCATCCAACCACTGCAGAAGATTTCTACATCCCAGGATTCGGCGCTGGGCAGAGGACATTTGCCCTACCAAGCCTCCACAGCACAGCAAAATACGGGTTCTGGCACACATAACCTACTGCTCTCAGAGCTGCTGAACTTGGCATAAGCCCTTGTGCAGCAAACTGTGTGTTTCAGCCCCGTTAGAGTGAAACGTCTCTTCAAGAAGCAAAGTTTTTCAAGGTCCATGTGTGTCCAAGCACTTCACCAAACCATGGTATGGACGGGACAAACATCTCTTCTGCTGAGGATTCATTACTGTTAATGTTCATCCTGCTTCATTTCATGGGCTCTGGCCCTGGGGAGA